CTCACTTTCCTAACCTGTTTGGAAATCACTCCCAAAGTCATTTCTCATATGTGAATTCTCTTCTCTGTGAAATCTAAACAAACAGTCAGTCAATTATCTCTATTCACATATTTATTAACCAAACAATAACTTGTTTTATATGTGTTCCTGTAGTAGGAATTTACATACTACTCATCAACTGACAATAAATTCCTGGCTAATAGCATTCTAATTCATGAAAAAGAAGAGTTTAAAGGGTATTTTGCCTATAAAGTACATTGTAGCCTCTTTATGTAAGAACCCAACACCAGATTTAGGGCCATGATTTTAAATATTAAAATCATGAATTATAGTACAAAGGGTATAAAATAGACCACACTGGACAGATCACCAGAAGGAACATTCCAACATGGTGTATGAGAGGAAGCAGAGCACTGCCTTGCTCATCAGATGAGAGTATGTATGCACCAGTCACTCTTGACACTTCTATGGCCAAATATCTAATAAGTCATAATTGATAGGGGTAAAAAGTTCGCTTTGGCTCACCATTGAGGACAGTGTGCATCATGCAAGGAAGTCACAATAGAACGAGGTTAGTCTGTGACACAGATCAGGAAGCAGGGGAAAGGAATGCTCAAGTTTGACTGGCTACCCCCCTTTCCCTTTTGGTTCAGTCCTGGACTCCAGCCCATGGGATGGCACCACCCATACTACCCATAGTAAGGGTGCATCCTCTATCCTCAGGTAATCATCTCTAAATGCACTCAGACATGCCTAGAAGTGATCATAATTTCATTTATAAAGATCAACCATAAGAAGATGCATTAATGACATGAATTTTCCTCATTTGGGCACATCCACAATCAACTGGAAAATCAAATAAGGTGCAGAAAATCAAATAAAGTATTTGAGGTTTATAATGAAATTTAGGGGCTGATGAGCTGACCCAGAGTAAAGGCACTTGCTGTTTTAAAGCCTGGACATCTGAGTTTGATCCTTGGAACGTGTGTAAAGAAGGAAGGGGAGGAACAATTTCACAAAGTTGCCCTCTGACTTCCATTTTCATGCCAGAACCTTCACTCCAACACATGTATGTCATGTACACACCAAAAGCACGCTTTTTAATTTCCGAATACAAATGAAGTTTAGCTAGGCACAGTCAGAGGTATGGATACTTGTGGCTTCTGGTGGCCAAAGCACAGTTACAGAGGAGTGGAGGACGTGTGGGGCAACTAAGATGATGCATCTGAGACAGCCTTAGAGTTTCTCACTTCTGTATACAGATAACAATGTGGTATAGAGGCACAGGAGTAGCTGACTGAAATCTTGTGAGGGTCGGCCCCACAAGTGAAGGCAGAAAGACAAGGCAAGGTACCGCTTTTGGTCAGATATCCTAAAGAAATGGGGCCCCCTCTCAGAAAATGCCAGAATACAGCGAGAGAAGACCAAATGCCCAGCCCAATGCTTCTCTGTCTATCTGTATTCTCATATTAAGGCATCCCAAGAGATGGCAACAAAGGAGCTCTCTTCAGTTTACTAAGATTATTCTAAACATGTTGGCAGACTGTAAGTTGATTCAGATTTAGTATTTGCACTAATAGTATTCAGAACTAATTGTGGTTATCCTAGTGTCTGCAGTTCACGGTGTGGAAAACGGATCGTTTTTAGATTGTTCATCGTTAACACACATTTGCTGCAATGCCTATAATGTGAGAAACATCATGTCAAGTGTGTCGCATTGCAGATGAACAAGAAAAGCTCAATAAAGAAACATGTCAATCTATAATGGCACATGAGGTGCTTGGCACAGACAAGGATTGTAGAAATTGAAAAGGGAAGTGATCACTTTAAATGCTGCATGAAGAAACTTAGCTGAAAAGGAGGCTTGATTTGTCTGATTCATAATATACAAATGTTCACACCCATAAGGGGAAAACTAGGTGATTTTCTAAGGGGTGAATCTCTGTGGAACTGGAAGTGTAAGGGATGCTGATGGCATGCCTAGAGGAAAATAAGTACATCGTTTCAAATAAAGTAGACTGGCAATGCAGAACAGTGTGAAATAATGCTACTGCACAGCCAAAGAAGATCCCATTCAACCTGGGAAATTACTAGCTACAAGGACAAAGTGAAAGAAAGATGGATTATAATACATGAATCCAACTTTCAGTCTGAGGACTTCCAGGATTATGATATTAATGACAGAAGTAAGGAAATCAATACAAACTAGTTTCCAATAAAATGAATGAGTGTGAAATGCCAATTTGATTTTTCAAGCTATATTTCTATTGCTGTGATTAAATAAATAAATAATATAAAAACCGTGACCAAGGCAGTTTATGGAAGGAAGGGTTTATTTTGATTTATAGTTCCAGAGGGCTAAGAGTCCATCACTATCATAGCTGGAAAGAGTGGCACCAGGCGGGAATGGCAGCAGGCTGAGAACTCATATCTTGAACTGTATGCAGGAAGCAGAGAGCACACTGGAAATTTCGAATTCACAAAGCTCACTGCATTGACATAATTCCTTTGTTATATGTTAATAAACTTTAGTTCTAGTTCTTATAGACTCTAATAAGCTGGTTACTACTATAAATCCTCATTTTAAAAGATGAGGAAACAAGCATGCAAAGGATGAATTACTCATTAAATATCCCTATCTGAAATGGATGGAATTAAGTAATGAATTTAAATAGCCAAAGCAGAAGTAATATGCTCTTACCCACTGGCCTATAGTTCTTTCAGGACAACGGAAGGAACTAAAACGTATGGCTTTCAGAAAAAATAAAGGAATATGGATAAGGCAGCCCAGAACAAGATGAAATCAAAACGTGTGAACCTCATCATATGATGTGATGTGACCTCATGATGGACTTCTGATTAGAAAGTAGGAAAGGAGGGAAGGGACTAGAGTCTGAATTAAGATACAACGAGTTTGGTGGAAATTTAGAAGAATGTGCTGCAACTTCAACAAAAGAATGAAGGCCTGCTGAACCCCGCAGCACTAGTTGGTGAGAAACCCTGCATACTGAACAATCAAGTAAAATTCAGCATGCATTCCCAGAAAGTTCTTCAGAAGAAAGGGTGGGAAGATTCAGTTGTAGGTAAAGTTGTAAGGTCAAGCTGGGAGTAACATTAGCACATTAGGAGAAAGTTCACTTACATGGCAAATTGTGGTTTACAACTTCAAAGTGCAAGGGGGTTTTTCAAATAAACAAGAAGTGTTGGTAATAGTAAAATATTAACCCATAACTATGACATATTTCTAAACATACCTATAAAATTTAGTAATTTATGTATTTTAACAGGAGAATTGGAATATATGACTTATCAGTTAAATCTTCCTTTGACAAATACTGTCTTACTATAAGATGATTTTTATTAGTATTTTGGATATGAATGGCTTTTTGTTCAATATATCAAATGAATCTTAGACTCTGAAAGACCAAATCTATTCATGAAGGTTGTCTAGTTCATACACAGCTTTTACCTTTTCAATTTCTCTTCTGAAACAGATCCTCACTTGCATTGCCTGTGCTGATACCAATCTCATAGACTAAAATGAACCTTCCACTGTAAACTGGCTACTACAGGCAAGTCTACAATATCTGAATGCATACGGCTCTTGTGCAATGTTTTTCATAGCCAAGACAAGCAAAGCTGAACTAGGAATGAAATACTAGATCTAATATTGTTGAACAGCTGCAGTTAGTATCACAAAGATATCAAAAGATGTAGCTGCTTAATATAATTGATACCTATAAAATATCACCAAAACCTATCATTCATGATAATTTATAAGACAGATAGTAGTTACATTATTATCACAAATAACTTCAAAATAAAATTATTTTTCATAGACATTTCAAATAATGTAAACCATTTTAAGATGCTTCCTTCCATGGTATATGCTTCTTTTTGTCACACACCAAGAGCAAGACACACCTAAAATCAATACTAATGTCACTCTAAATGTTGACAGTAGGAAACTTATCCTTTAAAAGTTGTTTAATTCAAGGCTGGTTGTTTTATTTATTACATATGACATAAGATATAATAAGCTAATTCTTCCTTATACACCCATGTCCACTTTTCAGATGACTGTCTTTGGAGTAGGTTATCAACATTATTTCTTTTAAACATGAATAAAATCTCAAAGGCCAAGGGATTTTTGTCCTGTCGTCTCCTAAGAGATACCTTTGTTTTTTATCTTAAAAGCAGGGATGCACTTTATTGGTCATGGAGAATTTTTAGATAAATTCTTTTAAATAAGATTTTGACATCTGAATTACTTATTTAATTGAAGGTCAAGTGTTGTTTTAGTGAAATTTTAAGGTCTGGGAGACTGTATTATATAAACAGGTTGCTATGATAACAGTCGAAAAGGAAAAGGCACATACTCAAACATCACACAATGGTGCTGTGTACTGCTAATAGGTCATATGAATGTACTCCAATGCCAATCATAAACATTATCATACATAAAAAACTAGCATATATATGCATATATCTAGGTGCTGAACCTATTGTGATTTACATATATATTTACTAGAAACTATTAGATAGATAGGCATATTATATAATGAAATATTAATGTTATTTTGCAAGATACCTGCTCATTGTCTGCTGCTATGTCTCCTCAACAAGTCATTGTAGTTAATTAAACTTTTAAAGATACTGAAATAAAACAAGAACATTAATGAATAATGCCACCATATAAAGTTTTAGAAGCTTCCTTTACATTTCCACAATGTGTTTAGATCTTGAAATGTTGAGGGACATAGAACAGGAATAGAAATTTAAAAGAAAATACTTGTCTATTATTTCTCAAAGTCAGTTATCACCTACTTAAAGCAATACAACTCAATTCAAGTTTTAATAGTTCTAATATACTTACATGTTAAAGAACATAATCACTTAGAGCTCTTATCTAGACTTTCTCATTATATGTAAGTTTTAGAAGTTAAGCGCCCCGAGATTTCATAGCAGAGAACAATTCTCATTTGGGTAAATAGTCTCACCTTATTGCATGTGTTCTGACTAAGGAGAGTGGGGGATTTCTCCTGTTCATCCCTCAGTGAGAAGGAGGACAAATGACTGAAGGGTCCTGGGGTAAGACAGTCAGCATGAGACAAGGTCTGTGGATGCAGCAGGGATTTAGCAGGAGGGTAGAGTTTAGACTGATATAAAGGATGGAGAGAGACAGGCCTGTGAGGGATGGCCACATCCTAGGAAGAAAAGGCACAGGATAGGTTAGTGTATGAACATCAGGCACACCACGACTTACCTATGAGAGATGTGTTAGAACCTCCAATGAGTAAGAACAATAGTCTTTATAAGGCCTCTCTCACAAGACACTTGGTTTCATAGTGAATATATTGTCTCTTTGAATAATCTTTCCCACCCCCTCCAGTCTTTCCTGCAAGCAAAACAGGGGCTTGCAACACATCTCCTGAAGATGCTGCTGTTTGTTGTTGCTGAAAGTATCAAGAGGAGAAATGTACAGGGAAGGGCGGAACCTATCCTCAGGGGGCTGTCTGGGCCCAGCAAGAGGAGTCAGCAGTAGAGGTTATTAACTCAGGAATGCAGAAGATTTGGTCTAGAATTTACCAGGGCAATGGGAAGGAATTAATTTATGAGCAGAGGCACAGAAGCTCTGGGTGTATTAGTTTATTCAGCTGAGCTGAGCAGAAATATAGGATCAGTTAGAGGTGAGTGCTGTGGGATGTTCTGTATGGCAAATGTGTTGCTGATTAGTCAATAAACAAAACACTGATTGGCCATTGGCTAGGCAGGAAGTGTAGGCGGGACAAGGAGGAGAATAAAGCTGGGAAGTGGAAGGCTGAGTCAGAGAGACACTGCCAGCCGCCATGATGACAAACAGCATGTGAAGATGCCGGTAAGCCACGAGCCATGTGGCAAGGTATAGATTTATAGAAATGGATTCATTTAAGCTGTAAGAACAGTTAGCAAGAAGCCTGTCACGGCCATACAATTTGTAACCAATATAAGTCTCTGTGTTTACTTGGTTGGGTCTGATGGCTGTGGGACTAGCAGGTGAGAGAGATTTACCCTGACTGTGGGCCAGGCAGGAAATCTCAAGCTACAGGTGAGTCTAAAAGGAATGAAGACCATATCCAATTCTAGACCGTGTTGTCTTGAAGAGAGCCTGGTAGCTCAACAAACAGGAGGGATGGCTGTAGAGGAGGCCTTATTAGCATGATTATTAGCATGGAAAAGATATGAATGCAAGAGCTTAAAGGAATAGGCAACTAAATAAGAACATGACTTATGCGGATGGAGCAAGGGATCAACAAAGATTAGAAAGAGCTGGCCTGTGTATATGAGATGTAGCTGTGGAAACAAAAGGCTAATATTTACAGATACACAGAAATGTTTTATATTTCTGAAATCTTACAAGTCAGAAGATAATTGATTATCCTACAATCAAACCCTCTAGGACATTTACTGCATGACAAGGAACCTACTTTCTCATTTTTCTGACCTCAGAATCAAGCAAAGAAAGGCTATGGTAGATACTTAACACATCAACATTGAATTTGAAAGGAAGATGATATTTCTTGTAATTTCAATGATGTATTCTATTACTTCTATGCTTCATATGCAATGGACTGTTTTGTTGGGTTTGGAACAAATTTAGTATAAAATAATACATATGGATCAAAATGACATTTGACTAACAGGTAAACCCAAATTGTAACACAATAAAGTTAATATTTTATGTTCATTTCCTTCATTTTAAGCAATATATTTTTATGTCTCTGATAGGTCTTTAAAACAGTAAACAAAAAAATGTCAATTACAAGAGGAACATTGCTATCTATTAATTTCCATGGCTATTCAGTTGATTTATTTAGAACATCTAGGAATACTACCTAAAATGTACACTCACCCAACAGTAACGAATTCAGCTCCTTTTTTTTTTCAGTTAGTACACATTTTCTTTCTTTCTTTTGTTTGGTTTCTTTGGTCAATACTTCTCAAAACTATTCATGCCAGTAAGCAACTTAAATTAAACATACAGTTTCTCTATAAGTGTTCTTTCATTTAAATTAAAATATATTCTAATTTTATCTAATTGCTCAGTCACATAGTTATCACTTTATTGGTGACCAGTTGCCTTGTTTAGTGCCAAAAGCAATTAATGGAACACTGAGTAGCAAGAACAAAACTGGCTGTGTGAGAACAGGGCAATGTCCCTGTTGATAGTTGAGGAAGCTTGGAAAAGGGTGGCCTAATGGTCTGCTGTTTACAGACAGATTTCTTGGAAGGCAAAGTACCAGTTCTTTGAATATCAGAAGTCAAGTCGAGATCCATGAGAAGTTATGCAGCCACCAGACTCGGAAATCAAATAGAGTCAAGCTTTCTGCAGTTTGAGAGAAAACACTCGCCTGTGTGTTTTCTACATCTGCTTTACTGTGGCCAATCTCTGGCCTAAGGAGTGGGTCAATCTGCACACTTCTGTGAGATCTGGTGTCCTCAGCTTGTCTAGACAGCTGAGCAAAAAGAAAAAGCATAATTTAATCACTATGGACCCACGCGGGGAGGCTGAGTATTGGCCAAGCTGACTTGGGTACTTGGCAAAATGGGGGGAAGGAATAAAAAGATACTGAGAGATGACAATATTTAACACCTGAGACACTTCTTCAAGCTCTGAGATTTGTGGTACCAAAGCAAACCAGGAGTGGTTGACTTTAGTGCCATATCACGTATATTATTCTTCACTTAATTGCCAAGACTTTGCTCCATTCTCCAAACAGTCCTTTGTTCTTTCTTTTTTCACAAAGCCCTTGTTTCATTAGCATCTGGAAACATTAGTGTTCGTGGGTTTTTGCTTTTTCTCCCTAATAACAGCACCTCTAAATTTTTGTTTAATTTCCTGTTTAGTGGTTTTGACAATTTTGCTGTGTTGTGTTCTGCATAGCAAGTTTTCTCCACGTACGGATATCTAAAGTCTGCTTATGTCATGTGAGTCTGGCACAGAGCTTCTTAGAGATACTGAGTTCACACACCGACATTTGAATTCACTGCCCAGAATATGAAATTCTCAGGAATATGAAAATCGCAACAATTTCATGCTTTTCTTCTTTGGACCGGTCAGATTGCTCACTGGAAACTTTGTAAATCGCCAGGCTAAAGGTCAAAAGAACAATTACCAGCAGATAAAACAGGCTGGGCTACAGTACTCTGAGATGCAGTCGGGGAAAAGAGAGAAGGATATCAACATGAGCTATAAGGCTTCAGACTGTGCCGTTTCCTGGAAAGCCCAAGTGTCCTGTGTTGGGCCAGCTGTCCCTTCAGTCTGAAACCCAGTTTTCCTCTAAGCTGAAGGAAGGGAGAATGCCAGCCACTGAGAAACAAGGGCTTAGGAGTAGATATTGAAAAAACCAGTAGTTTCCTTATTTTAGCTGCTCTTCTTTTATCTCCTCGGAGAGGTTATCATCAGGCACATCTAAATCTTTAGCCTGTTGAGAGCTCTAAGGCAGGGATAGAATCAAGGCTTAGATATCTAAGTAGCCAGCTCAGGATTTAGTTTCTACCTCTGTTATATCAGTTTCACCACATCAAGATGCTGTTATGCCACTAACATTATACTGTCCTGTGTCCTCTTCTTTTCCCTGCATTTGTGAGCTCTATCATAAAAATACATCCACAGAGAAAATTTTTAAAACAATATTGATAGGGTGTAAATTTAGAGGTGGTGTTCAATCCTCCATCCTCTTCTGAATCACCCAAGAGATTTTGTTTGATAAAAGTCAGCCTTAAAAGTCTACAGAGGCAAGGTCTATTACTTCCTTGCATGTCTAGAATGAATTCTACGTGTTGGGTTGCAGTTTACTTTAATGCGCTACTGAATTCTGTGTAGGCAAAAGTGAGATGTTTACATGACTGCTCATAACTGAATGTGGACTGTTTCCTTTCTGTGCACTCCCTGTTGGGTGATGATGACAAGGCTACATGGAATACTTTTTTGGATATTCTTAGATGAAGATGGCCCACAGCTGCCTTCAGCATTCCTGCTGACTCATCTGTGCTCTTGAGAGCACCTTACACCACTTTTATTGTTTCTCCTTTGGTGACTGGTTCGGTGGACTGGTCTAGGAAATAATACCTTTGAAATTTTACATGCCTGTTATCAATTGTATGTCTCCCTTGGATTTCCCTCTGTCTAAGATGAAGGGTGTTGTACTTCTAGTGACTTCTGTGTTGTTAGCCAGTTCCATGTCTACTTTTTATTTTGTATTTTATATTTTCTGCCATTTTACCAATCTCCTAGCAAACAGTTTGCTGTTTAAGATAGCTTTCAAAGAGTACATTTCATGTTTGTTATTTCTGCAGTTTTCTCCTTTCTAGCTATCTAGTCTCAATCTTAACTCCTTTCTCTTGTTTTTATATGCAGCATATGTAAGTTTTAAATTTTTCTGTGGTTTTTATTTTATTGTTGTTTTTCTTAGATTGTCCGAGGTAAATACTCAATTATCTTTTGTTCTCTTTCTTTTCTTTAAGACTGCATCTCATGACTCACTTGGGGCAAGTCACAACAGTGGGCAAGTGCAGACCTATTCCTAAGCCTGGACCCCAGCGATTTTCAAGGGCTCTCGGGATGATTCCTTGATCAGAGCTGTAAGCTCAAGAATCATTGTAGTGGGTAGCCATTCCAGCTTTGGTCTGGAAGTTCCAACCCCGGTTGAGGCTTCGGTAATGGTCATGCCTACAAGACCGGGCTGAGAGAGGACGCTGAATACCCGAGATCCGGATGTGCCCACTCTCTTGGTTCCTGGACTCTGGACGCTAGAGCTAAACCGAGCAGAGTTCTCCAGAGAACACCACTGGACTGCGCCACATCTTTCCCAGACCCTGTTACCTATCCTTTCACTTGTAAGTTACCCCACAAAATAAACCTCCCTTTTAACTAAAAAAAAAAAAAATCCCAAAGACAATTTTAACAACCTCTAACCTAATAAATAACAATTTTAAGTACTAAGATTTCAGTATGTTTTCTTAGATAAACATTAAACTGTTTTTTATTGTATTCTATTTTAATATGTAAAACATCCCTTGGTATTATTGTAAAATAACACAATTGCTCTTTAAAACATCAAAACACAGAACAATCTAAAAAGACAATATTAAAATTTTCTCTTGATCCTATATACCCAGATATAGTCTTCTAACATCACTTCTAGGATGCCAGAGAATGTATTTC